TCTCTCTCATTAGCCCAACAGTCAAGCTTAAGCCTTACTGTCTCCTCCTAACATGTCTTTGCCATCCTTAGGAGGCAGGAATGTGGTACTCCATGAATCCTGCTCCTGTTTCCAAACCTGAACCTACCTCCCCTTCCATGCTACTTCCAGACTGTCCCTGTGAGTCACTTTGGCAGCAGCATGTGGCAGAGTGATGTGCCCAACCTGGTCAAAGCCTTAAGAAGGCCCAACAAGTCACCCCACCCATTGGAAACTGGCCAATGACTACACAAGAACTCTGACGACCCTGCAGAGAAAGGCCATGTGACAATGCCCTGAAGGAGGAGACACCGTGTGGAAAGAGGCCAGATGGGACAACCAGGTGAGGGAATATGGCCCTTCTCTGAGTCCAACCCACTGGAGTCTCCTGGACTCAATCCTTAGCTGCCCTTTGACTTCAACTCTCTTGGCACAGCAGTTTGCCAAGGTGAACCAACAGAAGAACCACTCAGCTGAGCTCTGTCCATTCAGCGTCATACAGGATGAATGCTGGGATGCTTTGTTAGCTGGCAATAGAGAAGCCATCTCTTCATTGTCCACAGCACAGCCGGTCAACTCCCACAGCCACCCCATCATCTCCTGCCACACAATCACATGCAGCCAGACTGAGAGAAGAGGCAAAGGAGAGGACATGGAGTTCAGGAATCCCCCTTTGCAAACCCCGTCATCCCAGACAAGCATGGTCACAGTATGCTTTTGGCTTACTCCATTTTGAATGGCTATAACAGAATATCACGAACTGGGTACATTATAAAGTAAGTGGATTTCTCATGCTGCTGGAGGCCGAGGAGTCTAATATGGAGGTGTCAACCTCTACTGAGTTCTTACAGCATCATCCCACAGGAGAAGGCAGAGAGGAGAAGGGCAAGCTCTCAAAGTATACACCTTCAAGCCTCTTTAAAATAGGCATCAATCTATTCGTGGGGGTGGAGCCCTGATAATCTAAATACCACCTGATATGGCTGTGCTTCAGCGGTAAGTATTCAAGCAGTACCTCACAGGACTAACCCTGCTGTCATGGCCCTCGGCACCACCTAAAGGAAAAGCTCTGGCGTGTCTGTATTACAATCTTCCCACGCTTCCAAAATCACTTCCCCCAAACTCTGAGTGTTTCTATTGAGGTTCTACACTGCCCTTTAGGCCCCTGACTTCTCTCCAAAGTAAGAGCAAACCATAGGAATTCCTGAGTCAAGTTGGGCCTTCCAGGTTGGGCCTGACAAACCCTTGTGCCTACTCTGGTACCTGACTCTCCAACTCTCGCTTGGGATAGAGTCTACCTCTATCTACTTTCTGGTAGAAAATGCCCTTCAGGTCAGGCCCCCAAGTCTATGGAAGTGACCCAGGGCCTGACTTGGAGCTGGCCAGTACCCCGCAGCCTCCAGCCTGGCCTCGGCTCTTCCATCCACTTACTCTTCTATTGGGTCTGTCTGTCAAACAATGTCAGTAGAGTTCTCAGCTGCTCCCTTTCTTCATGGCTGAAGGTACTACCAAGAAAGGCTGTTCCCTGCTCTCATCTCAGGTACTTTACACACCACAGCCAGCTTTGGGTGTTGGCTGGTAGGCCTGGGTATGGTTGGGATCTTAAGGGTTCCCCAAAGTTCCGTACACTAAAGATTCAGTAATCAGCCTGTGGCATTCCTAGAAAGTGGTGAAACCTTTGGGAGGTAGGTCCTAGTTGGGGAATGGAGGATGGGGCTGGGGGAGCTAGGACACTATCCCTCTTTCCTGGCCAGTGTGAGATGTTCCCCTTTGCCATATACTCAGAATGTAATGGACCGAGAATTGTCCATAAACTGAAAACGCCAAACCCAGGTTCAAAGCACACCTTTCCTCCTTGCGAATGTGATCCCAGGCACCTTGCCACGGCGATGGGAAGTTGACCAGCATGGCTCTCAAGCCTCTGGGGAGAGCAGGTGCCATGTGAAGGGCTGGGTCACACCTTGAATAACCAGGAACCCTGTGGTCCCAGTTCTGGGTCCCATATTTCTCTGTGTGGGCTTAGGCCCTCTAGAGTCCATCTTCTTAAGCCAGATATTCTCTGTATCATTTTCCCGGCTCTTAGGAGTTGTGACCACAGAGATCGCCCCAATGACCACGTCCTCTAAGACTGTGCTTCTGCCTGAGGCTGGCCATCCCCAAGGCAGATCTAGCAGGCCTTTCAGGGTCAACTTCCAATCCCCCTGTGTGGGGCGTGTTTCCTGCAAAGGCAGACCTCTAGCTTCCCTTTGTTTATCTGAACCAGGAAGAGAGTCCTGGGGAGAGTCCACTTTGCACATTCTTGTCAGTGTCTCACACCCTCCACTAAGACTTCCTGTTATCCCTCTTTCCACTAGAGGGCAAAAGGGATACTGTGATGAAAACCCCATTCTTCAGCTGGGTGCCCATCACCCCATCCTTCTGCAGGAGGCCGATGGGGTCCATTCTATTTAGACTTCTTCCCCTACAGCAGGGAACCTATGGGACTTCCTCCGTCTATTAGCTGCTGTTCAGTTCCTGCAGTCTCAAGATTCATACGCTTCATTCTTGCACTGAGTCTGTCTGTGAACACTCACCCCATCCCAAGAGACTCCATGGCATACCCCTTTGCAGCTCTCTGCCTAGCCATGAAGCTTATTCTCATAGGAGGTTGTCAGCCACCAAGAACCTGATCCACAAACCTCCATTCTGGTGCTGAGGATGGAGCTGGGCAGTGAGGTCTGGGCAGTGGTGCCAGGTCCACCCCTGCCTCCACCTTTGAAAGGCACCAAAACCCACCTCAACTGGTCACAGGGGAATTTAAACTTCAGGGTTGGCAGCAGGATACTCCAGGTTGTTCCCTGGTTGCAGCTATCCTTCTTTTGGCCCCAGTATTGCAGGTCTTATTAATGATAGTGTCTCCAACACGCCAACCTCAGATGCATTCCCACTGTTCTACACATACATCACTCTAGATCCTTCTTTTACTGACCTTTGGGTTTCAAAATACTCAAGGAATTTAGTCAATCACCTGAGTTGTTGGTCTAGTGTGCAAACATGACCCCTTGGACGACAAACTTGCTTTTCTCATGCTGCCACGTCTTCTCTTGTCTGTAAAATGAGGACAGTGCCAGATATTGTGGCACAAACCTGGAATCCCAGCACTCAGAAGCAGAGGCAAGAGGACTGCAAATTTGAAGCTAGCCTTAGCTTCATAGGGAGACTGTGGCTCAAAACAAATAGAGCCTCCTATGTGGAGGACAACACCTCACCTTCACAGAGATGTCAGGAAACTGGTGATGTTGCACATGGCTTGTGTAGGTACTCTACAATGGGCGGGTCCTCCTGGTGGCACTGAGTGGCTATTCATAGACAAGAGGGGTCTGAAAAGTCCCTAAGTACCAGAGACTTCCCGGCTCCGTAAGTGCCAAGGGATGCCACAGGCACGCCCAGGCCATCCCAGATGATAATTCTGCTTTGTCTCCTGGGCCTGTTCATGCTCCCTTCCCTCCCCCGGGGAAAAGCAGGGGCACTCTGTTCTTACAAATCCCCACCCAAAACAGCTGGCTGAATGTAGCCAGGGACACTCCTCACCAGACAGACAATCACCAGGCAAATTTCCACATCAGTATTTCCTGGGGAAACGTGGCCACCAAAAGAACTCAAACATGTCTTTCAGAGAGCTTTTTTTTTTTTTTTTTTTTTTTTGCCAGGAGGCTCAAGGTTTCCCTGTCAGATGATGATGCTCCCATCATTTTTTTAATGGGGCCCTTAGAGATGGAACTGTAAATGCAGAAAGCCAAACCTGAGCCTCTCCTGCAGACACAGGTGCTAGGAAAATACCATGAGTGGGAACTCATGGGAAAAGAACTCCCTGGAAAGAGACACCTCTGCTAAGAACCCAGGAAGCTCATTCCAGCCTTTTGCCAAGGAATAGCATGGTCCATTTAGAGCGAGTTTGTTTTCTGGACGGGAGAGAACTATCATGTGCTTCCAGAAGGCTAGGCAAACATTTGATAATGCTGCCTCAGGATGCTTGTCAGGCCTGCCCACTCTACAACCGTCTGACCCCTAACTCCCCCACCTCACCCTGCCCTGAGTTGCATGTAACATTTTCATTCAAAATTTGTTACTTTGTTCTTAAGTAGGTCCCAGTAAAAGATAAATTTGGTTCCTTATTTAGGCTGGCTTCCACCAAAACATAGGAATACATACACAACTGAGAGTGATTTAGTTTAGTCTTTATGATGATCTTGGGATCAGCAGTCTCTCTGTATCAACCCCCCTCCCCGACACACACACACACACACACACACACACACACACACACACACACACACACACAAAGGACTTTAGAAACTTAGACTCTCTCACTCAGACTGTGACCATGAGCTCAGTGATTAGAGGCCAGAGAGGCCTCACAATTGTCACCTAGACAATAAGCAGCCAGCTGACTTGGCTTGGCTGTCCTATGTAGCCTTGGGGCAAAGCCAGATCACCAGGAACAAGTCACTTTAGGGTACTGAGCCTAGAGGAGGGGGCGCTGCCTGAGGTCTAGCTGTATGCCCCAGGCAAGCTTGCTACTCTGCTCTGGCTCACTGCTAAGTGGTGGTGCATCTCAGCTGACCAGCAAGTGGGAGGCCCGGGGGCAGCAGGACAGTCTGCCCCCGGACAGCATGACTGACCACTGATCCGTGGTAATGGTGGGGCCGTAGGACCACCTTTCCGAACCCCGATCATTCGAACGCCTTGCCAAGACCACCGAGCTCGGCAGCCCTTTGGCGGCCCCTGTCAACCGTGTCAGAGCTCCCGCCCGCCCGCCCGCCTGCTCCAGAACTCGCACAGGCAACAAGTTCTCCCTTCCCCCGAGCGGTCACGACGTGCTCGGGAGGCTGGGAACGAGGGGAGTGCTACCAACGTCCCAGGGCATCCCCGCACTCTTCATTCCCCAGAGCGCCGAGATCGGACGGATCGCGAAGTCCCCGACCCCAGCCCTAGCCTCTCACCTCCAGCAGTTGCACGTAGCTCGCAGGGAACCAGCCACGGAGTCCGTCGTCCTTCTCGCCTTCCCACCAGCCGCCGTCCGGGACCTGGAGCAGTGTGAGCAACTCGCCTGCAGCGAAGCGTAGTCCCTGGCTGTGTCGCTCCCCGGAGAAGGGGTACAGGGTCCGGCAGCGGGCGCCAGCCATGGCCCTGGCGCCCGGGCTCACAGTGCAACCCGCATCCCTGCCTAGCCCCACGGGCTGGCCACCGGCTGCGCGAGGTCCCAGGCGCCCGGTGCTCCGGGCTCCCGCGCTCTGGGCGCGCGCCGTGGCGGGGGTGGGCAGGGGTCCCTGAGTCGCCGGGCCACAAGCTCGGCTTGCAGAGAAACGGACGCTCACTGGCTCTGCGGGCTCAGCGGGCTCCGAAGAGCTAGCGACGACGCCCCCGGGCCGGGCGGCTCTGCGGTCCCCCGCGCCGGGCAGGGGGCGGGGCTCAGGGGGAGGAGACCCGAGGGCCGCGGGCTCACAAGACAACTTCCCCAGGCCGGGGATGCCCGAAAGCACTGAGAGGCGCAACTGCCCCGGGAGGTGGTGCCCAGAGCATCCGCCTTGGCGGGGCTAGTCTGAGGCGAGTGGAGCCCGAGAAGACTGGCGGAGGGAGAGCATTGGCGGCCGGTGGCCGGGTGGAGACTCTCTCGAGGCGACCAGGGCGGGCAAGGGGCCGGGCCAGACCGGCCACGCCCGCGGAGGGACGGGCGCTCCCTAGCAGAGGGGCTCTCTTGCGACCCCGCCACCCAGAGCCGCTGGAATGGGAACGCCCCTCGGTTCCTCCTGTTTGGATCTGTGGCGGGTGACAGGCGGCGCTGCCTCCCAGGTGTCTCTGCAAGGGAATGTGTTTGTGACCATCATTGTAGTGCATGAAGCCTGGCTGAACTTGACTCACAGGAAACTGAACAATGGATAAAGACAGGTTTGAAGGCTGGCGCCGAAGCCGGGAAACCCGGTGACAGGGTGTCATACCAGCGGGGGATGCTGTGCGGAGATGAGGAGAAGGAGTCTGGGTTGGTAGGCTTAGAATCTGGCCAATGAGGCTGAATATTGGAAAGGCTAAACAAAAAGAGAGAGAGAGAGAGAGAGAGAGAGAGAGAGAGAGAGAGAGAGAGAGAGAGAGAGAGAGAGAGAGAGAGAGAGAGAGAGAGAGAGAGAGAGAGAGAGAGAGAGAGAGAGAGAGAGAGAGAGAGAGAGAGAGAGAGAGAGAGAGAGAGAGAATAAGAATAAGCACCATTTTTAGCTTCTCGGGAAATGGTTAGGAGTCGGGGGTGTCGTAGTTTAGCCCTCCTGAATTCAAGATGGCCAGGCACCAGGTATTCGTAGTGACTTGCTGTGTTCCCTGCAATGTCTGGATAAGACCCTGCTCTTGAGACACTCATGGACCTCAGATGCCGAAGTAAGAAGTATACTTTAAGTCAAGAGTACAAAAAGAAAAGCCCTATTTCTTTGCTAGCGTAAAAGTTAAAGTCCATTTCCTAACCTGTAAATAGCTGGACCCTTCACTACCGATGTTCTAATCAGGTGAGCAGCCCTAATCGAAAAGCCTAAGGTACAAAATCCAAACATTGTAGTGCTACCTTGGGATTGAATAACAACACACCTGTAATTCCAGCCCCTGAGAGATAAGAGCTGGGAGGTGAAGAGAGTTCCAGGCTAGAGTGGCCAGAGAGAAGAGAGGGGAAGAGAGGAGCAGGGAGACAGAGGAAGAGAGAGAGAAAATAGATTGCTGAAGAGATTGTATAAAGTTACATTTGAGCTATCTGTATTCATTTCAGATTAATTTAATGTCAGACTTGGGTCACAGTCCCAAGATATCACAATACATATATGCAAATATTACAAAATCTTCCACATTTGTGGTCCCAAGCTTTTCTTTTTCTCTACTTTCCTTCTCCCCCACCTTGAGACAGGGCCTTAATATGTAGCCCTGGCTTGTCTGAAACTATGTAGACCAGGTTGGTCTTTAACTCACTGAGATCTGCCTACCTGTGCTTCCCACCAAGTTTTTCCAATAAGGGATATACAGCCTATAGTTCTTATTAACTATTTCTGCCTCTTGCTCAGTAACCTTGTATGGCTTCCTATGGCCTATTCAGCTAGGCGTGAACCTCTCAGAATTTTAGGTTAGGATATCCATGACAAAATCTGTTTAGTACTAGGCATGGAAAGCCTTAAGTTCTTGCCTATCTGTCTGAGCTTTGAATCTGGTCCGTTTAGCTCAGTGGTTCTCAGTCTTAGCAGGACATTAGAACCATTCCTGTAACGTTTCAAAACTGCTCAACTGTGTCCACCCCAGCTTTGAGAGTGTCCCTTGAGCCACGGTGTGCATTGAAGCCACCTTACCTAGTTAGAATCTTCAGCCTGGACAACCTGACAAGTAGATATTGTAACATTCCATCAGACATGGGCTGATGACATTTGCTTGCCCAGGAATTATGGGGAGCAAAGGCTTCAGCCCAGCAGCCATTAAGAGTTCAATGTAGAAAACAGTTGCTAAACTGGGCAAGATGTCTTCTGCCTGTAATCCCAGCATTCAGGAGGAGGAGACAGGAAGACCACCAAAACGTTGGAGGTCAGCCTGAGCAACATAGTAAGGTCCAGGCCAGTATGGGCTGCAGAGTGTGAGTTAATCTCAAAAAGATAAAATAAAAACAACAAAATTGCTAAAAATATAAACTGGACTGACCAAATTTTGAAAAGATTCAAACACTGTTTCTCTGGTACATGGCTTTCTGCAAATTGTCTAGACTTGATGGTATGGCCTGGTTCATTAAGGACTGACTGGTTTAAGGCTATCCTGCAAGGAAAATTTCTTTATTACAGAAAACCCAGTCACCACAGCATCCAGAATTCTTGGGCACCAAATGTCCTATCTCAGGCATTCCCACCCATGGGTGATGTGGTGATATACCCAGTAAGAGGGAAGAAACTGAATTCAGAGGGTGTGACATGCTTTTGGTCATATGGCCTATTAACTACAAAACAAGATTTTTGAACTGGGTTTGTCTTCTTGTACATGGAGTGCTGTTTCCTCTAGCCAGTCAGGTCATGCAAGCACCATGGAGGGATGGGGGTGGGGCTCAGTGGTACAGTTGCTCAGCATGGGCAAGGTGCTGGGTTCTATCCCCAGCATCATGAGAAAGCAGTGTAGGCCCTAGAGTTCATACCCTGAAGCATCTGAGTGCAGTCTCAGCACTTATGAGTCTAAGGCTGGGTTATACAGTAAGACAAAGAGGACAGGAAGGGAGAGGAGGCAGGAGGGGGGGTGGAAGAGGAGAGGAGAGGAAGGGAGGGGAGGCATAACGGGAAAGAAAAGAGGCAGGAAGGAAGGGCTCTGTGGGGCAAGACTCTGAAGGGAGAAAATGCTTGGGCAATGTGCAGTGTCAGTTAATATAGAAATAAGACTAGAATAACAGAGAGTGCCACTAATGTCCAAAATAGAGGTGGAACAGCCAGACATGGTGACACAGCCTGAGACAGCACAGCTGCCTTTAGTTTGAGCTCAGTCTGGGCTACAAAAGAAGATGCTGCCTCCAAAAGAAGCAAATCCGAGGGAGCTGAGAAGTCAGCTCAGTCACTGAGGATGCAGCTAAGTCGATAAGAGTGTTTGCCTCAGCCGGGCGTTGGTGGCGCACACCTTTAATCCCAGCACTCGGGAGGCAGAGGCAGGTGGATCTCCGTGAGTTCGAGGCCAAACTGGCCTACAGAGTGAGTTCCAGGACAGCCTCCAAAACAATACAGAGAAGCCCTGTCTCTAAAAACCAAAAAAAAAAAAAAAAGAGTGTTTGCCTCAAATGCACGAAGCCCTGGATTCCACCCAGCACCTCGTGAACCTAGTGTGGTGGTTGGTGGTGTGCACTTGTAATCCCAGTCCTCAGAAGGCAGAGAAGATTACAAGTTCGAGATCAGCCTGAATCATAAGGTGAGACTTTTCGAAAATCAAGACCTGCAAGGCTCAGTGCTCATTGTACATAAGAACCTGGGTTTAATTCCCAGTGCAAAAGAAAAGGGGAAGAGAAGGAAGGGAAATATCCACCCTCACAAAACCTGTGTGACATCATATCAGCCTAATAACTGAATGTGGAAGTGACACAAATGCCTGCTGGCTCCTGCCAGACAACATTTGGGGGACCTATCTACACAACATGCCATAGAATAGTGACTGAGCTGTGAAAAGAATGAAGTACCAACACGTGCTCCAACACGGACAAACTTCAAAGCTACCATGCAAAAGTTTCCAGATGTGAAAGACCACGAATTCTATGATTCCTTTATGTGAAATGTCCCCAGAGGCAGATCCATAGAGACAGTAAATAGATTGGTGGTTGCCTGGGGACAGGAGTAAGCAAAGAAACACAGGATTTCTTTTGGGGTAGTGAAAATGCTCCCAAATTAGATTATGGTAATGATTGCACAATTTGGTAAATTGCTGGACTGCACACTTGAAACAAATAGATTTTTGGAATATAAAGCACACCTCAAATCTGTAACATAAAACAAAAATAAACACAAATCAAGGCCTCCTTCACCTAGTCAGTATGTTTTTCTCCACCTCTGCATACTAGTTCATTCAGCAACAGCCCAAGGGCTTTTTGAGTCCATGCTGTAAACTGGGTACTGTGGGACACACCTGTAAGTTCACTCTGTAAGATAGACACTGTGAGACACTCCTGAAAGTCCACTCTGTAAACTGGATACTGTGGGGACATGCCTGTAAGTCCACTCTGTAAGCTGGGTACTGTGGAACACGCCTGTGATCCCAGCACTTAGGATCATGAGGCCTGAGGACCACAAGTTTGAGGACACCTTGAGTTATATTGCAATGTCAGCTCAATCTGGCAAGCAAGACCATGTCTCAAAAACAAACAAAACAAATGTGTTATAAAATAGAAACACTCAGATCTCAAGAAATAAAGAGATCTAAGAAGAATCAGGCATTGGTGGCACATGCCTTTAATCCCAGTACTGGGGAGGCAGAAGCAGGAGAATCTCTGTGAGTTTAAGGCCAGCCTGGACTATAGATTGAGTTTCAGGACATCAGGGGATGTTACACAGAGAAACCAAAACCAGGGTGGGGATAGAGCTACAAGGATTCCTTTAGAACAATTGAGGAAAAAGACGGATGGCTGTCTTAGTTCATTTTGCCTTACTATAACAAAACAATGCAGTCCGGAGTATTTTATAAAGAAAGTAGTAGGGGTGGCAAGCACTTGTAATTCCAGCACTCTAGAGGTTGAAGCAGGAGGATTGCCATGAGTCTGAGGCCAGCTTGGCATATGTGGTAAGTCTTGAACCAGCCAGAGCTACATAATAGGACCAGTCTCAAAAGGAAAAGAAAGATAGTAAGGAGGGGTGGGCCATTGCTTTCCAAGCAGAGTAGAAAGGAAAAGGGTATATGAGAGATCACATGAGAAGGAGCCAAGGAAGCCAAAATCAACTTGTGGCAACAGCCCTTAAGGTGACCAGCCTGAGCCACCTCATCTACTCTCAACAAACCTGTAATGGGGGATGGCAAGCTGACTCAGCAGGTGCTTGCTGCTAAGTTTGGCTATCCCAGATTTGATTCCCAGCATCCACATGGTGGAAGGAAATT